GCGATTGAAGTATTTAACAGTAAATACTAGTTTAGGAGATTTACCGATTTCTCTTTAGGGGAGACTATATGCAACAACCACAACTTATATCACGGGTCTTCGGGGGTCTTCGGGAATCCGCACAAGATGGATGAACTCCCTTTATCCAAAGCGTACTAATCCAATTTAGATGCAGAGAATATATTTCATAGTGTTTGTTGTAAGAAACGTTAGGAAAAAATAAATTTTGTACTACAGTCATAATAGTATATTTATAGGTTATAAATATAATTTAAGAGGAGGATTAATTAATGAGCGTATGAGTCATCTAGCACCCCTTATGGGTAGATCCGACCCAATAATATTTTCCAAAGTAACTATGACTAATTTGCATTCAAGCTCAATTCTCTTAGTTTCCCTAATCTTTACTGCTCCAAACTGTTACAGCTATGACTATGATATCATTAATCCGGTGCGTTCAAGAATCACCAAACATCCAAGAGAGAACTTAAATTGTTGAATCTCCTAGCTAGACAAAAGGGAGCCTCTTTATTTATTTATTTATTTATTTATTTATTTTGAATTCCTTTATATGAAATTTCTGCCCCGCTGTTGCTTTAGATCATGTCGCAACTTTTGGAACACGTACTCTTTGAGAAACAGCACCTGCTACTCTAATTGCACCTTAGAGGTAGTTTGGTACAATGGTAGAATAAATAAGGACATCTTATGTGATGAATATTTCATGAAATTAGTTATTCCACCTTCTATATATTATAGTAAATTTCACTATTTAATATAAAAATTATCCACGAATTAATTAATACCAATAACCAAATATGCGATAACTACAATCCAATATTTTATTTATTATTTATTTTTCTTGTACCAAACGACCCCATAGTATTCTAGAAGACAATGCATGCAGGTGAGTCAACAAGGTGATAGTATTGGTGTTCAATCAATAGTTATTGACACTAATTAGGAGTTCATTACTCAAATGTTCACTCAAGTATCCGAAATTATCTAAAGTCATCTTTCTTTCGTTTTTAACAACAAAATCACTTAACTATGTTTATAGCACTCAGAACGTCACTCAACTAGATTTCTCTTACTTTTGATTGCCAAATACATATTTTACCCTCTAAATTATCAACTTTTGTACTCTTTTTATTATTTTTAATTTTTTAATATTTTGATTTTTTTCTCTTTTAAATTTATATTATGGAATTACCTATAATAAATAAATTTTACTTATAAATTAAAAAATAGTATTTAAGAACATATAATGTTGGAATAACACAATATTGAGCATAATAAAAGAAATAATTTATTCGTAATAATAATTTTGATATTACCAACAAAAATTCAACAGTTATTTATGTAATTGAGAATGAAAGAAAATAAAAGTTTTATAATATATATTCCATGCACTTAATATAAAAATAATTATTTCAAATAAAGGTTTTTTTAATATATACTTTATATTCTTGAGTATTATGCTTAATAATATTATTATTATTCCGACATTATATATGCTAGAAATTTAATTTTTTATTTTATAAATAAAATTTATTTTTCTATATATATATATATATATATATATATAATGTAGATTAAAAAGAGAAAAAATAATAATATAAAAAAAATTTAAAAGAAGAAGATAAAACTTGATAATTTAGAGGGTAAAGTAGGCATTTGAGAAATCTGGTTGAGTGATCTTCTGAGTGTTAAAGACATAGTTAAATGACTTTTCTGTTACAAACGAACGAATGATGACTTTACTAGATAATTTTAGATAGTTGAGTAACCGTTTAAGTAATGAACTCCACTAATTAGTAATGAAAGATAAAGATGACTTATTATTAGCCTTCCTCCAAAAAATGGATGTTTATACTCATTCTATCTACCGCAATGGGTTGTCGATTAACTACATACTCACGAGTAGGGGTGTATATAGGTCAGGTTGGTTCGGATTTTGCAATTTCCAAATCAAATCAATGGTGTCAGATTTTTAAATTTACAAACAAAACCAAACAAAACCAACAAAGTCGGATTTTTCAATCTTGATTTTTCTCGTTTTATTTTGATTTTTTGCGGGTTTTCGGATTTTTTTCCTAGTAAAGTCTTAATAGCACAAAATATGTAACTTATACTCCAAATATTTCTTAGTCCTAGTAAGATACAACTATATATTGTATTTTCCAAGAAAATAACACAATATTATGCGATAAGTCATAGCATTATACTAAAACATTCAATAACAAATAAAGATAATAAAATTGCATAAAGCAAATATTGCTAATTAATAAGCCATAATGAAAATTTACATATATATGTCATGCTAAAATAAGTAGAGCTAATAAGTCTATATTACATAATTAAGCACTAAAGAAAAAGATAAACTAAGTTATGCATTTCATTACAAACCAACGCAAAACAAAAAATAGATGTCCAACAATATTATCATTCCTAGTGTTGAATTAAATTTCTTTTGTTAGCATTAGTAGTGATTAGAACTTTGTTTGAGTTACTACATTTATGGGCTATAAAATTTATTTACTATTCAAGAATGTTAAGTCTCAACTTGAAATAATGCGTTAAAAGATAAAACTATGAAAAAGTTTAAAAATCATCTATAAATTACATTACAATAAATATTTATATGTATAAAATACTTTTAAAAATTATATAAATGTAATATCAGGTTGATTTGGTTTCAGTTTAACTTTTTAAGTTAAAACCAAACAAAGCCAATTATGGTCAGTTTTTTTTTCCTCTAATACCAAACCAAATTAAACCAAATTACAATCGATTTTTTTGTTTCGGGTTTGACTCGGATATCGGTTTGGTGCGGTTTATCGGTTTTCTTTGTACATACCTACTCACGAGACATAGATAGGGTGCTATTAACATGCAATGTTCATGCATATGAGGGCATGCAAGCAAATGCGGACCAAGAATTTGGAAGTGACCAATGCCCTATCGAATTTTTGATCTTAAGGTTTTCAGGCAAAATATATAACCTTTTTAATATACATACACATATCCAAAACATTTGCTGAGGTTAACCGGGGGTAATGAGATGCTAGTGTTGAACAATGGAGACATGCTCGAGCATTGACACATTATTCGAAGACTGGTTGCGGGTGGATATCAAGTCTCGATCTTAAAAGCACAATTTGGTTGCCCAGATATGACGAATTGACGATCTTCTATAATGTTCGATCTTGGACGCTTAACTCTCAAGTGTTAACAACTCTTTGACACTTTACTTTTGACTTTTCTAAGCCCTTCGAATTGAAGTGGATTTTTTCAAACTCATATACAACGTCACTGAATTCCAACTTTCCTATAGGAGCTCGTTTCTCCAACGAGAAAATTGTAGTTCTAAATTTACATAATACAATCTAGAGATTCCTTACAACAGAGTCAAAGCAAACTATTCTATGTAGATAAATATTTATTTTTCCCAGTATTTACACAAAACTAATGAACGTACATTAAATGTTTGTATAGGGTTTTAATCATTTAACAATTTAAATGTATATATTATCACTTTAGTTTATATCTTTTTATAGGAGTATTGATTATTTGATTTGATATTAATCTCGAGTACAAATAATTTCTTACTTTTTATTTTGTTGCTAGGGGCGAAAGGACGGTAGAAATTACAGATTCGGCCGAACTCAATAGTTTTGGTTCAAACTATATATTTGACTTAAGAATAACATTAAATATATATAAATTATTACTAATTTAGAATTCTGAACCCATAAATTATAAATTTTTATTTTGCCTAGCGGCATTGAATATTGGAGTAGCCTCCTCTTTCAATCATGTATATGTATATCCAAATGATGCCCTCATTTTTGCAAGAAATCAAGGGAGCAGATACTCTCAAGTCTTTTTTTTCTTAGATAAGATAATCTCTTATTTAACCTAAAATTATGGCATTTCAAATTGTGAGTTTGTGACATGAGTCAAATCGATTATTTGCTGGCCCATAGAGGACCAAGTATGACAAAAGTGGAAAACAGATGCAAGGAATTGAGAAAAGAAAACAATGAGAGCAGTCGCAGAGTCGCGGGGCCAAGCGGGGCGCGTCTGCCCATTTCTCAGAAAAACACTTCAGAAAGAAATACCCACACGTGGCAGGACAAACCCGTTGAGGCGGTCTAATGATATTGGAGCTCTGACGTGGTCATGGGCCCCACTTTAGACGCGCTCAAAATTTCAATCTTAGTAAAAAACTCAGTAGTTAATGATAGGTGGTAAATAGTTATCACATTCTATGTTTATATCAAGACAAATAACTTAATTTTAATATATATATATATATATATATATATATATAAATTAAAGTAAATGTACTTATTATTTAACTATAATTAAATATTAAAAATATGCAATAAAAAGTATTATTTATTTGTATAAACATTAGATACGCGTATAGGCAAATTCATAATTTTAAAGTTTTGGTTGAAATCACACGGAATCAATTTGACCAATTTAGTTATTATGCTCAAAATTTAGAACCGATACTTATATATTTCATCATTATCATTTTATGTGGCAAAATGCGAATAAATATGGAGTCTAACAATAACAATAATAAAAAATAATATAATCTTTCTAGTTGAGTTTGAAAAAGATACTGTATCTTATACTTCCTTTAAAACGGATCAGAAAGGAATATTGGGACATAAAATAACATAAAAATAATAATAAATTTCTTACCACATGTATATAAGATTTGAATTAAAATTATTGTACTAGGCGCAGCGGCTAGCACTATACTAATTTACTATTACTCCTTATCATTTTGCATTTCATTTCATTTCCAATTGCATTGCCTTTCCATTTGAGTTTCATCTGAATTTGCATTTGAATTTAGGTGGAAACCAGTAAGACACACAAGTGGTATGTATTGTAGTGGACCAGATTTGAAGTTTTGACTTTGACTAATATAAACCAAAGAAGAAAATTAAAAAAGAACACACCAAGAAAGAAGAAAAGTCTCACTTTCCTCTTCCCTTCCTCCATTTTCCTCCGACTCATATATACCTCTGAACCCCTTCAGTCTTCTCTTCACAAAAAACTAAACATAACAACCTATTCTTTCAACTAATTCAATATCCTCTTTTATTTCTTCAACTTTCTACAAGAAACAAACTTTATCCATCTCTAAGGTACTATTTATTGCTCTTATTTTTTTTATTTAGAATTTTCTAGTATGGGTTTTGGTTCTTTTATGTAAATACTGGTGATGGGTATGAAGTCTTTTGAAAAAATATGATAAAGTTTCAATTTTTATTGACTAGTTGTATGTACTTTCTTGATCTAGTTGAAACTTTAAAAGAGTTCACATGAGGTTTCTTGTTTTGAAGGTTTTACTTTAAAATAATTGATGGGTTGATTGAATTAATAAAAAGAGTTACACTCTTGATTCAGTATTTCTCTAGATGTATGGTTTGTTAAATTTGTGATTTTATATGGTGTTTAGTTTAGCAAATCTAAATCTAGGAACAATTTAAATTACTTGAAAAGTTACATTTTTTATTCATAATTGTTTAGATATGTACAGTTTGTTACTTTTGGTATTTGAGATTTTATATGGGTAATGATTTAATACCAAATCTAAATATAAGAAGTTTTTTGATGACTTGCAGGAATTGATGTGCAGTAGTTCAAAGAGTAAAGTTTGTCCTTTTGATTTAAACATGGATAAGAAAGATGGGGCTAGTAGAAATTGCTCTAAATTGCTTGAATTGTCAGCTTCAGATGATCTTTCTGGCTTCATATGTGAAGTGGAGAAGGGTTGTGGTGTTGATGAGTTAAGCTTTTGGTATGGTAGAAAATTCGGTTCGAAAAAGATGGGTTTTGAAGAGAGAACTCCTTTAATGATTGCTTCTATGTATGGAAGTACTGAGGTTTTGAGGTTTATTATTGGAACTGGGAAAGTTGATGTTAACAGAGCTTGTGGATCTGATGGTGCAACTGCTCTTCACTGTGCTGCAGCTGGTGGATCTGAATCGTCGATTGAGGTCGTTAAGATCTTGATTGATGCTTCGGCGGATGTTAATGCTTGTGATTCAAGTGAAAACAGGCCATGTGAAGTGATTGCTTCTTACCCTAAGTGGTTGAGGAATTCGAAAAGGAAATCGCTCGAGCTGTTGTTGAATGGTAGCTTGGCTGAGCTTGCTGAGCTGGAGGAAGAAGAAGGAAAAGCAGTGATTCAGACAACGAAAGAAGGGAGCGAGAAGAAGGAGTACCCTATTGATACTTCCTTGCCGGATATAAACGATGGGATTTATGGGAGTGATGATTTCAGGATGTATTGTTTCAAGGTTAAGCCTTGTTCTAGGGCTTATTCTCATGATTGGACTGAATGCCCTTTCGTTCATCCAGGGGAGAACGCGAGGAGGCGTGACCCAAGAAAGTATAACTATACTTGTGTCCCGTGTCCTGAGTTCAAGAAAGGTGCCTGTGCAAAAGGTGATTCTTGTGAGTATGCTCATGGTGTATTTGAGTCATGGCTTCATCCTGCCCAATATAGAACACGCCTTTGCAAGGACGAGACCGGGTGCTCGAGGAAAGTTTGCTTCTTTGCTCACAAGCATGAAGAGCTGCGCCCGTTGTATGCATCCACTGGTTCAGCTATTCCTTCCCCAAAGGCTACCCCAGTCAGTTCTATGGACATGTCAACATTGAGTCCTCTGGCGCTCGGTTCGTCTTCCATGATGCTGCCTACTACCACTACTTCAACACCTCCGATGTCTCCTGCTGCTACGTGTTCGTCCCCAATGGGCGGAAACATGTGGCAGGGCAAGGTGAATCTCACCCCGCCTGCATTACAGCTTCCTGGTAGTAGGCTAAAGACGTCTCTGAACGCCCGAGACTTGGACTTGGATATGGAAATGCTTGGCTTGGAAAGCATCCGCACACAGCAGCAACTAAGGCAGCAATTGATCGATGAAATGGCTGGTCTCTCTTCCCCATCCTATTGGAAGAACGATAACAGGATGGGTGATATGAAGCCTACTAATCTTGATGATGTTTTTGGATCCTTGGATTCTCAATTGTTGTCCCAATTGCAGGGCCTATCTCCAAGAATGACATCAAACACCAATTCTCAGTTGTATTCTCCATCGGTTTCTCATATGCAAGGTGTCTCACCTAAGGTGGCAAGTAACACCTCCCAGCTGCAATCTCCAACCGGGCTTCAGATGCGGCAAAACATGAACCAATTTCAAGGAAGCTATTCTAACATGTCTCAATCATCATCTCCCTTGAGAAAGCCTTCGACATATGGATTCGACTCTTCAGCAGCAGTGGCTGCAGCTGTCATGAACTCAAGGTCTGCTTCTTTTGCAAAGCAGCGCAGCCAGAGTTTTATTGACCGTAGTGGAATTGGCCATCGTTCTGGCCCCAATGGCGTTGCTAATTCACCACCTTTGATGTCATCTAATATGTCGGATTGGGGCTCCCCGACTGGGAAATTGGAGTGGGGCTTTAATAGCGAGGACACGAACAAGCTCAAGAGATCTCAATCTTTTGGTTTTCGCGGTGGAAATGCTGCTCCAACAAGATCACCAATCGCACCATCTCAAGTCAATGAGCCAGATGTCTCGTGGGTTCATTCCTTGGTGAAAGATGTGTCCTCCACGGGTACCGGGCTATATAGCTCAGAGCAGAAGCGCGGCAGTGTTCATGACGCCATTCCACCATGGCTGGAACAAATGTACATAGACCAGGAGCGGATAGTGGCTTAATCTAATTCTATGCCATGAGATTAATCCAAAGTTAATTCTTTTCGGATTCTTATCAAAATATTGGATATATTTTAGCCATTAGTTTCAAGATAATAGCAAGAATACCCCTGTTACTTGGGGAGAGAGTTGGATAGGAAGAGTGACTGATCACATTGTTTCAACAATTAAGTGATTGAAGAAAGAAGCATTTGTTATTAACTCAATGTAATTTTTTCATATTCTTATATTTTTTACAATAAGATTCCTTTGGGATTTTGTTCTCTATATTCTTCAATGAGTTGAAGTTGTATTTCAATATATCTTTTCAGTTGTCGCTCATATTGAACCTCTACATGTTTTCTTGAATTCCTTTGGTGCAGAATTGAGTGTGTGATTCCAAGTTAGGCTGATCAATCAGTACTAATAGTACTTTTGCTATTAACCTTAGATAGGCTATGCTTTTCAGCTAATAGAAGCTTGGATCATACCAGCACCCCTTTTGAAGTTTTGATGCAAAATCTTCTACATATATTTGCTTTATATTTACTGCATATCTCCAATACTTGATGAAAAGAAAAATAAGTTCCTTTCTCTTCAATTTTGGATTTTGTTCTCTTATTAACATTTTCCATTTTCCTTGTAGGCCTATTGCTTATACCAGCAAAATAAACTGGATGAGGGTTTAAGTTAGTAGCAAGATGTACTTTAGCTATTGATATAATTGTCTCTATGAACTTCAGGAGAATCGTAAGCATCTTTGTATTTTCTTATTTGGGTTAAACTTTTTGTTGGTTTGCTAACCGTTTAGTAAAGAAATAACATGCCATCACAGTCAAAAGTGCTTGTACCTTGGGAGTTAAAATGTCTATAAAGCTTCTATATCTTCTTATTTTGGGTACTGTAAATAGAGTTTACAGCTTTTTATTATAAGCAAAGGAAGTTCTTTACATATTCCAATTTCCCGGATCATGCAAATGATGCTTTCGTGTCAGGAACTTTTTCTTTTGGTTCAAAATTTTACTTGCCTTTTCTTTCAAGTCATTATGTCCCTTTTTTTTTTGTGGGGATGGGGGGAGCTTTAAATAGGGGGGATTTCTATACCAGGGTGTAAATTGTAAGTTTTGTTGTATAGGATGATTTCCTATCTATATTTCGTATGCAATTTTAATGTGGTTTATTAACCGTTGCCAGAGATCTTAGGACGCAAAAAAGCGAGAATCGTTTTAAATTCCTGTTTTATGGCTATAAAACGTCAAAAAAATAAGGAACAGTCATGGCCAAACAATGAATATTGTTCAGTAGGTTATTTTATGACCCCGCAAAATTTTAGAAGATTCAGGGTCGGTTGTCCGAATTCATGCAGATGGCGTGGACTATAGCAAATGAAATTTTGGGAATCAACTTGAATTCCTATTTTTATCGCGAAGTGATGACTATTGTTCATTATGTCATATTAAATGGCCCCACAAATTTTAGGAGATTCGGAGCGGGTCGCCTGAATTCATGTAGATTGCATGCACTATAGCACACGAAGATTTGGGAATCGTCTGGAATTCCCGGTTTATGTCACTAAAACTCCAAAAAATGAGAAAGGGCATTGAGAAATGGTTACTATTGTTCATTAGGTTGTTTTTATGGGCACACAAAATTTTAGGAGATTCATGGCCGATCGTTCAAATTCATGCAGATGGCGTGGATTATGCACGCGGAAATCTGAGAATCATTCTGAATTCCTATTTTATGCTCCTAAAATGCCGAAAAAGAGGAATGGTAATGGTGAAGCAATGACTATTGTTCATTAAGTCGTTTTTGATTGGCCCGTAAAATTTTAAGAGAATCGGGGCTAACCGCCTGAATTCATGCAGATGCCGTAAACTATAGCACACAAAATATTAGGTCGTTTTTTTGGGCTCGCAAAATTTTAAGAGATTCGGGACTGGTCGTTCCAATTCATGCAGATGGCGTGGACATAACACACGAAAAATTGAGAATCGTTCTAAATTCCTGTTTATGGCCCTAAAATGTCAAAAATGAGGAACAATCATGGTGAATCGAAGTATATTATTTATTATGTCATTTTTATGGGCTGAAAGCTTTTAGGAGATTTAGGATCGGTTGCTCGAATTCATGCAGATGACGTGGACTATAGCACACGAAAATCAGGGAATTATCCTAATTTCTAGTTTTTCACCCTAAAACGCCAAAAAATGAGGAACAATCATCGCAGAGTGATGACTATTGTTCATTAGCTCATTTTTAATGGTCCCGCAAAATATAGGAGATTCGGGGCGGATCGCCCGAATTCATGCAGATAGCGTGGACTATATAACACACGAAAAATTTGAGAATCGTCTATTTTCAATAAAAAATATCTCATTTTCAATTTTTTTACCACTCATTTTCAATTTTTTTACCACTCATTTTCAATCACCTGACTTCTTATTTTGTCACCAAGGTTTATTGACATTTTACCCATGGAGTTTATAGGGCCTGTTCGACCCGATTTTTCTGACCCGACCGAGCCGCTAATTTCAGGAGCAGTGTGTCTTATGTCCTCACGGGTAAAAATGGCGGCATCGTTGAGATGGGTACTACAGCTACACAAGGACGTACCTAAAGCAGCAAGATTTTACTCAGAAGGCTTAGATTTCACCATTAACGTCTGTACTCATAGATGGGCCGAGCTCCAATCTGGGCCCCTCAAACTTGCTCTCATGCATTCACCCAGGTCTTTTATCTTTATCCCCTTTTTTTCCAATTTTCTTGAACACCCATCTAACCAAGCAGTTGAATGCTGATCAATTTGTTTTAAAGTTCACATTTTGGGTTGGGGTTGGATAGTTTAGTGTGGTTATATTTGAAATTTTAGTGATTTTTGAGAATTTCTGTATTTTTTTCATTTTCTAGGATAGCCATGTAATCAAACAGTTGATATTTGATCAATATATGTTAAAGTTCACATTTTGGGTTCTGGGGTTGGGTAGTTTAGTGCGGTTATATTTGCAATTTAGTGGGTTTTGAGAATTTCTGTATTTTTTTATTTTCTTGAACACCCATGTAACCAAACAGTTGATTGTTGATCAAGTTGTGTTAAAGTTCACATTTTTGGGTTCGGGGATTTGAAAGTTAGTTGGTTTTTAAGAATTTCAGGATTTCTTTTCCATTGCAGCTGTTTCGCCCCATCCAAAAGGGTAAAATAGAATTAATTTGTTCAATTAATCCTCTAAACATTACAGCTGATGATTATGATCTTGTAGAACCAACTGTAAGAGATCGATTAGTTGATGGTTCGGAATAACTAGTTCCGGCATAAAATAATAAATTGTTTAATTGGCTGCATAAAAAGAAAATAATTGCCGCATAGCTAATGCAGCGTTTGGTTTGACGATGTTTATGGAATTACATACAGTGCTTCGATTCAATTGTTTTTACCTAATGTGCTAGTAATTTTGCTAGGGGCATGTCTTCTTAGATCATTGGTTAATATACTTTAAGAAAAAAAGAATTATATCTTTAGTTAGACTTAATGGGATAGAAAATCTTTTGTTTTTACATCATAGTGAGTTAATTATTTACTATGTTAGCTTTTGATCAAGGAATAATATATGACCAATTCTAATAGGAAATTTGGTTTGTGAGAAGGAATACATAAAATCAACTCTTATTTGACTAGGCATTGTATATTAATGATATCAAGGTTGCCTTCCAATCATTTCTTTTAATGATGTCAAGGCTACTCGGTGAATCTCCTTTGATAGAGCATAAGGCCAGTTCAGTGTGTATTGGGATGATTTGCCATTTGATAGAGTTTGTAATTGTCAAGAAATTTCTGCGTCACCCTTACAGTCCTGGATATGCCTTCAGCTTCGTTAAGAGTTCTGTTTAGTTTGTATTTGAATATATGGTAGCGTAGTTTGATATCATTTGCTTACTGTACCCTGTGGCTTGTATTTAGCTGCATTTTAAGTCATTGCTCCTCTATACAATCATCTGTCTCTTAATATGATCTCAGGAGCTGAGAATGTGTGTGATGACCCTACAATCCTTTTTTCTTTTTTGCTCTTTTGTCAAAACTTCATTAAGTAGCTGATTCACAATGTTGCGTGCAATTGTTCAAGTTTTAGTCTGCAGCTCAAACTGGCACATTAACTATGACAATTGTCTGTCTTTGCTTACTGATTAAATTTAGTTTGTATCAATTGGTCGCTTATTTCTGTTTGTGATTCTGCTTTTTTTTTATTGAACATCATACAACTGGTTAGCTTCTAACTTTAGTTTTACAGTGACGTTGTTGTGCAGAAGGGATACTCATCCCTCCTGTCCTTTACAGTTGCTGATATAAATAACTCAGTGACTAAGCTATTGGCTTTAGGTGCTGAGTTGGATGGCCCCATCAAATATGAAATCCATGGAAAGGTAACCAATATTTCATAAGGTTACTCTTCTACTCTTATCGTTGCTTTTAGTCATTAGTGTCATCGTTATTGTACTAATATTATTACTGAATAATCTGAACTAGCTGTCCTATTTGCTAGCTGTGCTTATTCTCTTTCACCATTCTGGCATTCTTTTTCTTTTTCATTTTTTAGCATGAAAAGAGATTGCAAAATCTGCTGTGAACTAGCATAAAATGTGAACTTTGATGTGCTGTTCTAAACCATTATAAGTTGAACGGACATAAGTTTATTTCCCATGTTATAAAGCTGTGTTATTGCTATTTGGATTGGTTCATATCTATGTGGTTGTCTTATAGTTGTTAACCAGCAATCCATTACTGGTTTACGCTTGCTGTCTACATATTGATTCGGAAATTTGTGCTGCAATCAGCATTAGTTTTCCACCATCATTCACAGACCATACATGGCTCTTGTAGGTTGCTGCATTGAGGTGTGTGGATGGGCATATGCTGGGTCTTTATGAGCCGTCCTAAGACTTACAAGAGACAACTACTTGAAGGTACAGTAAATGAAATCTCGACTTCTGTTACAAGGCAAATTGGACAAATTTTGCAGTTGGGTATTGTTGAAAGAGAGATTTCACTCTTGTTCATGGAGGTGAAGCACAACAAGAGAGGAGATAGTCATTACAGTACCAATTGTATACAGCAAGAGACAAGCCATTACAATAGTTGAATTCCTACTGTATTTGTTTTGATGATCCATTCTGGTTAACTAAACTAACCTACTAGTAGCTTTCTCGGAACTTGTATTCGAGCATTGCAAATCAATGTTAAGTATAGAATGAAATCTCTATGAAAAGGATGTACAATCAGACCTCTATAATATATAAAGACCTCTATAATATATAAAAGCCAAGTTTTCCTAAGAACCGACTTTTAAAGTTATATTTTACCTTTCTATAACAGTTTTTTTTTACCTATAACAGCAACAATCATATTTATAGCAGAACGCTATTTGTAAAATTACCACTCTATTACATCCATATAGAATCTTTAAGATTACTAATAATAATTCTAAAAATATGCACACAATCTTTTTCATTGAATAAAGTTTCTATTTTGCATAAGACAAGATTTCAAGATTTGCACATGATATATTTTCTATTAGATAGTAGATTTAACTGTTAAACTCTTAGATTGTCTTCAAGAGAAAGCTATTAGATACCTTTTTTTTGAAAATTTGGACACAAATCTTCACCAATTCAAGCGTTATATCGCTAGTAAGATAATGAAATCTACGAAACAAGCTACAATTACAAAGTTTTTCCATTAATCTTGGAAGAATTTATTTTCCTAAGTAGCTTTAAAATGTGTGCCTTGGAGTTTAAATCTTTATACGTTTAGTTATAAGTTTATTAATACTGTATAGCTTTCATCAATATTTAACAAGTGAATATGCATATCTTTTGAGAATAAATTTGGATAATTTTCTTATATTTAATATGTAACATGAAAAAAGGAAAATAGTTGATTTCTGGATAATTTTTAGCTATAACGGTCAAAAAATATTTAAACATCAAATATTGTTATAGGTGTATAACAATCATTCACTATAAAAGCCAAAAAATATCAGAACAAACGAGGTTGTTATAGAAAGGGTTGACTGTAACAAAAATAAGGACTGAATGCTGAACCAATTTTCGCCATTTACTATTATTGTTATTGTTATTATTATTATTATTTCTTATCATTAATCTTGTTCCAAAATAGTATTTGAGTTTTAAGGTTGCAGATTCAATGCAGCTGCAATGGGTTCTGCATTCCATGCGAAGGTCCAGATATTATCACTGGATTCAACTTGAAACTTTGTGCTCTTTTTCGAGGTTTTCTAGGATGTCAATGCATCTCTTGAGCAAAGACTTAGCATGCTCATTCTTTTCCACATCATAGACTTGCACCTAGCCCTACAGCCGGCCCTGCTCATGAATAAAAGCAACTATGCTAGTATATTGAGAAGTATCCTGAGAATCAACTGTCTCTGTGTGCAGCTTTGAGCATAGCTCCTTAATTGAGGAAAAAACAGACACTTTAACTGCAGAAAGGAAACAAGCATATGAGGACAGGGAAAAATATTACGCTCTTGGTAAGGATAAAGAATGTTACGAGCGGCATACCTGCCCATGGATAGCTAGGTGAAAGTGAAATTAAGAAAAAATCAATCAACTTCTTCTGCTGTTGAATAATATCAGTTGTGTGCGCTATGTGAATGCTTGCTGTTACACAATTTACTATCTTGTCATGTGCAGAAGAAAAATCCTCCTCGTCTCCTGAAAATTATAAAAAGACATAATCAGATAAATCATTTCTCCATCTTTTCCTTTACATAGGCCTATAGGAAGGAATCATTTCTCCATCTTTTCGAGGGTCTACCGGAAAACAACCTCTCTACCTTCACAAGGTAAGGGTAAAGTTTGCGTAAATACTACTCTCCCCATGAGTATGTTGTTGTTGAGACCTGTAGCCTTTATAAAAATTGATGAGGGAGGGGCACGGATAAACCCACAAGATAGGTAAAGATGGCAAGTGAGTTGCAAAAGTTTATTCAAATTCAAGGTCTAGGCTGATGCACCCATTGCCCAGGGCACAATTGTACTACAAAGTCTTTCACCATTAATTTGGCAAAAAAAACTAGGAAGCTCTAAAACTAGAACTCCTTTTTTTCCCACAATGAAGCATGTTGTGATGCTTAGAGATTGTCTTTTTAATAAAAGGGTACGAGAGGGGAGAGGGCAGCCTGGTGCAGTAAGCTCGCGCTAAGCGCGGGATCCAAAGAAGGATAGTCTATTATACGCAACCTTACTTTGTATTTCTGTAAGACGTTATCACAGTCATGCAAGATGTTATCACAGTCAACTCTTACCGATGCGCTAAGGTTCCCACTCTGGCTTAAAAGAAGGGTAGGGGAAACTATTTATAAAGCTTTTCTTCCTCCACCAACACCCCAAAAAAATATATTAAATAATAAATTAATAAATACCAAAAGTAAAAGTAACCAGAGGTTTCACAAAGATGCTAACTTGAAGACTTATAATCAAGAAGAAAGTTTTGGATGGGCTGAAACTGAAATTTAAAATATTAGACGTAAAATGGATTCAAACACGCAAATATGCAACACTACCTATCGTACATCTTTCATGAGGCCAGTAACAAACAAAATAGTTCATGCAATACCTTTAATTTGCAGACTGCACACAGTGGCGGACCCAAGATTTTGTGCAAGCGGGTTCAATCTTAGAAGTACATAACTTTAGTCGTAAAATAGTAGTTGTCAAGCATACATGATATATGGCATATGGAAGGGAAGGAATGAAGCACTGTGGCAAAGCAAAGTCCCAAGGCCACAGAACTTATGCAAGCAAGTGAAGGAAGAATGCATACATCGGATGAGAGACTGCCTGGATCGAAGGAAGAAGGATGATGATAGGATATGGCTGAGAAATTTTTATAACTAGAACAACATTAGGCAAATGTAAATAATCTGTAGAGTTTTAGTTTTATAGGTGCTGTTATTTTCTGTTCTTTGGCCTTAGCTGATGTATATCTCTTGTCTGGTGATGAATAAAAATTTTTCTCTCACCAAAAAAAAAAATAGTAGTTGTCAAGTGAGTTTAGCTAAAATATTTATACAAAATTTACGCAGCTTTAATCCTAATTTATACATATACACAGTATAATTTTTTGATGACCGTTTGCCACCACGTGCGTCCGCCACTGACTGCACATGTCAAATAATTGTGGAAAAGCTTTATTGAAGAAACAGTGTAAAGATCATCAATATCAGCATCCAACGTATGTACTAAAATCCACCTATCTTGGCCAACTTCTATCCTGAAGAGCATTTAATATGCTGCAACTTTCATACAGCAGTATAATATTGGTTTGTTGCTTTTTCAACTATACCTCAATCCAAAGCAAGTTGGGATTGGCTACATGAATCCTCACTGACCATGTTAACTATACCATATGAACTAACATTTCCTTCAGATAGAGAGCTACCTCTGAAACATTATCCTGAATTCATGATTGAGTACTCCCTTTTGCTGAAAATCAGTGGCTTAACAATGAAACAAGTGTTCTATTTGAGTGATAGCTTCATTTTTAGTATAACAAGCTATATCTATCCGGTTATCCACTTCTTGCAGTTGCAGCAGAAAAATTTTCACCTTTAATCCCTTTGGTGTAAATTGCTGAACATAGATTAAGGTTTTTGAGCATTCTTCAACTTTTGGGGGGTCCTTTTTTCTGGAAGAGGGATGTGGGAGGGAGTTCAATTCAGCTGAAGGTTTGACGAAAATTAAACTGCCACAACTTTTGGGGGTCCTAAAACTTTATTTGACCTTTTCTCTCACAAGGGAAGAAAGTGCTATGTCTTGAAATGACTCTTCCACGTAATCAGTGGTCAAAAAATGAAAATAATTCATTGAAAAATATCCACACAAATGCTGTTAGACATTTCAGGCAAAAAAAATTATGTGCTCCTGCCTGCATGAATAAAGGTTCGTAAACATCCAGAGTGCTTATTTACCTGCTCAAGACAGGAGAAAGCTGCTTCGTGGTACATTTTGGCTTTTTTTGTGCATGCAGATAGATAATATGAGACTCAAAATGGCATTTGGAGAGTCAGGATCAGCAGCAAAATTTCCTTTATGACACGACATACAGAGTGAAGATAACGCACAGAGTACTGCGTCCTTTCCCTGCAACATATCAACACATGATTTTCTTGTTAAATCATCACTTCTCACAACAATGAACACGATAAAGCTTAACTAAAACGATCTAGGTGATAAAATAACCCTTCGGGGATTCAAAACACCCTAGAATGAATAATCGTGTCCGACTTGTTATTTGATATCTCAACCCAAACTTTTATCTACTTCAATAATATACTGTAACATGTAGTATTCGAATAATTATTTTTTCATTTGGAGTGTACTGATATAGTCAATACACATAGCTTTGGATGGAGAGAACAAGAGGAAATAATTCCAGTTAGGCAAGAGAAAAAAATACCAATTCATCCTTCAAGAGAGATGAGAGCAGAATATGGTGCTGTCACATAGCTTACTGATTGCATGAGAAAATAAGCAGGATAGTATAACTCCAGAGACTACCCAAAATACCTTTTCCGTTAAGGTGCAAAGGGGAAAAATGCAGGTGGTTAAATTTCATGTATTCGTCTAGGTAAAGGAGTGAATATAAGAACATCATTAATATCAGCATGTAAGAAAGGGAAATCCTCAACCCCCTTCGGTAAATTCAGAAATTCAAAGAGGAAAAGAAAAGTGGAGGTAGAAAGATCAGTAAGTTCAGAGTTCACATTGACTACATCAGGCTGTTCGGACACTAGAAGTTCAAGAACTTCACTAATTTTCTTCTAAAAATAACATATACAAAAAGTTCGTTAAAAATGGGTCCTAGATATCTTGTATTATCAAAGAGTCATCTCAGTTGTCAAGCCACATAGCTTCCTTTTTCAATGAGATAAATTGCAACAACAGCCACAAAGATGAAACATTGCTAAATTCAATGATCTGGTCCACCAGCTAAGAGGCTTGTGAGTTGAAAAGAAAAGAGGTGACTTTCAATGTAAATAGCCAACAAATGAGGCACATGCTTCAAAACCACTAAGGAAGAAGATATCAGGATCATTTGAATAATATTGCAAAATGAACTTCAAACAAGAAGTAATAATGCCAATAATTAACCGGAAGTTGAAGGACACGACACTTGACAACAGAAAACGTACAAATTTTGGCGGATGAAATAATGAAACAAGAAGGCATATTCTTATAGAGAATTGATAGAAGAAACTGAAAAATTCGCCAAAAAGAGAACAAAGAAACAGTATGTAATAATGACGTTAAAAGCAGGTGTTACCCTGACCTCAAGCTAACAAACTTTTCCCAAAGATCAAGACTATGAGAGTGGGTCAATAAAAATTGCCATTCATGTGAGGAGTCGAGAACCCATTTGTGGTTCTTTTGGATAAGTGTGACGAAAATGTGTATTTAAAAAAAAGAGTAACATTTTTATATATAGCGTTCTTTTAAAGAGCGCTATGCTTTAACGGAGTTTTGGCCGTTAAAGTAAAGCGCTCTTTAAAAAAACGCTATATATATATATAGAACGCTCTTTTAAACCGCGCTATATACATAGCGCGGTATATAACCGCGCTTTACCTATTTTGTGGGCCCACCAATAAGTCTCCTGCGTTTAACTGACATAACAATAATTCAAATAGGTATAGCGCTCTTTAAAAGAGCGCTATACCTAAAAAAAATTCAACCCACCGAGCTAGGCATTGCCTTATTTAAAGGCGTTAGGATTTTACAAAAATCCATTCAAAAATATTCCTAACTCTCATTCAAATTTTTCTATTTGTTAAATTCTCAAGCATTTTTTCATAATGTATGAAGAGCGAAAAGTAAGGGTTTCATTATATTGGGGGGGTGAGGTTGTGGTGGCGAATAACTCTGTGAGCTATAGTTTATCTCCACAGTGTCATATTAAGTTGTCACTTACAATGGAGTACGATAGATTGGTATCGTTGTTATGTAATAAAATGAGTGTGAGGAAACGTTCGGTGAACATTAAAGTAACCAGAAGATATCCGTATTCCGTCACTCCGCAAGGGGTTGCTTGTTACGCCGAGTTTAACATCGACGATGATGAAACTTTGAGGGATTTTTTGAGGACTCCGGATAAATACCAAAAATTTATTGTGATAAAAATATTGAAAATGCATGTCAAGGTCGAAGACGTTGGCAATAATGAGGTTGCGCATAGTAAGGATAACCCTCAGTCATCGGGTGGTTATTCTGGAGCAGTTTTTGCCGGACAGATTTCGGATGAAAGAGTTTGCCCTGATTTAAACTTATCACCACAGACGAATGAGGAGCGAGGAAATAATTTCTCTCCTGCTTTACATAATCTACAAGACGAGTGGTAAACTTCAATTTTCCTTAGTGTTACGATGTATATTTTTGTTGTATTGAATTTGTATTAACACTTATATATTCCACAGGGGGTACCGGCCAGATATGACTTTTACAAGTTATGAACCCACGCCCAGTTGGAATATGCGTAGTTCTGGTGTGTTGGATCATGGTGGTCCATCCGGGAGTCATCACCACCATGATAATGTTCATCAAGGAATATCAACACGTTACGACTTGTAAGTGAAGTGATACAGCTATATGGAAAGTATTTATTAATTTCAGTAGCCTATTATTTTGTTGTTTGTGCAGTAAAAATGAGCAAGTTGAACCACCTGTCCTCACTCAATTGCCTGAAGATGATATATTAAATCGGGATCTGGCAGATGCACAGAGTGAGGAAGAGAACAGTGATTATGACAACAATGCCGATGATTTCGGAGACGACACACCCTTCCCTCGTGAGGATGGTGACGAGGAGGAAGAGAATGAAGGACCTGATTTGACGAGGGAGTATGCTCCACCCCCCGTTAGACCAAGAGTGTACGAGTCCCAAGTGACGTTTCATTCAAGGAAGATTCCCTACCTTGATAACTTTTCAAGTATGCCGGATGTGGATGCTCTCACAAGGGATTTTGATAAAATTTGGACAGCAATGTGGAATGTTTCTAAACCAACGGTGCTGGCAAAGGGCATGCTTTTTCCTGATAAAGTGCACCTAAGCAGGGCAGCAAAAATGTACAGCGTAAAAGAGTGTCGTGAGATGACGGTATGGGAGTCAAGTCCGGATGTATACAAGGTTGTTTGTCGCAGATGGTTTACGAGTTGTCATTGGATGCTGCGTGCGAGCAAGAAGAACACAGGTCTGTAGAAAGTGGGTAAATATATTCCCACTCACAGATGTGAAATGGACACATTCAATGGGAATCACTACAACTTGGATATTGACTTGATTTCTCTTGTCCTTATTCCACACCTTGAAGCGTCCATAAGGTATAAAATCAAAGAGTGCATTACATCAGTCCACCAGGAATATGGTCATACCATTACCAAAAGAAAGGCATTTCTCAGGCGCAAACATGCGTCTGAAATTGTTTATGGTAACTGGGATAAGTCATTTGCAGCTCTACCCAAGTACATGGCCGCACTGCAACACTTTAACCCCGGGACGATTGTTGAATGGAAGCTTGAGCGTAGTCCGAAAAAATCAGAATATATATTCAATTATGTGTTCTAGGCATTTAAACCAGCAAT